TGGCCATGGACTCAGTCAGTGGCAAACCTAATACATTAACAAAGAAAGCTGTCCACTCTATGAAATTATCTGTGTAAAATATTTAAGATTTGTCCATATATGGGCATGATATATGGTATCACTTATAACAATGGGCACTTTACATAATATTTGTCACAGCAAACTTAGATATTGTGAACGATGTACATATAATGGCATTATTTTTCAAAACTTTCATATCAATTTATTTTTATGCATCTGTTTAAAAATTTAAAATCATTTTAAATTTATCAAAAGCAGATATTGGACATGTAAATTTAGGAATTAAATCATCTATACCCTTGAGAATGAAATACATATATTGAACATTTCATTGGTTATGCATATTTGGAGCATAGAGTCTTGACTGGGTTTTGGCAAAAGTGATGAAAGATATTGTGAAGAAATTATTAACAGATTTCACAACAAAAATATAAAGATAAATTGAATGATGAATTCGCAAAAGAATCAATTATTCCTAATATATTGGCCATGATAGCCTGGGCCATATATGGTGTATGAACTTTTAACTCTGAAGTTTCATCGATGTGGTATCGTATGGTTTTCTATGGTGTAAAATACTAATAATTGATAGCCTACTAGAGTCCGCAGACTTATTCTAATAGGGTCTTTCTGGTTGTGAGTTAGGCAGTACACCGGAAGCACTAACACAAAGAGAGTCATAGGAATTAAACCAGGGGCCAAACCTATGTAATGGTCAACAACTCCGAAAATATTATTCTCTCCTCTTTACTCTCGTTTAAAATGATCGTTATTTAATTGCAGTAGCCTAGAGTAAGATGAACATTTTCTTTTTCCCACAGTTATGGTTAGGTTGGGGTGCACAATGCGTTGTTTGTCTTGATGTTGCTCTACAATAGGTTTAGAATGCTAGGAGTTTTTGTATCACACCTACGGTACATTTCATTCTATTGTGTATTAGAAACCAGGTTCTCTTAATCATTTTTTTTTATTTGTCATTTATTTTTTCCATAAAAAAAGAAAGAATATTATCATCATACTGCGATGCTGTATAAATATACCATCTGTGGACAGTAGGCCAAAGTAGACCAATTGATTGGTTTTCTAGAAATGTATATTTTATTTTATTTTTTAACAGTCAACATTTATTCATTCTTTTTTCTGTGTTATTTCACTTTTCTCACTTTCTTCTTTTATTGCAAACAATCAATAAAATATTACATAATACATTCTATAAACCATCTAATTGCATAATTAAGAAACGCTGTGATGTTTCGCAGATTCTTTTTACAAGACTATGTTATCAAATATACCCAAACCCGTCTACAGGGTAGAGGTAAATATCCAGATGAATGTAGCAGAGTACCTGTCTCTTATACACATCTAGATGTGTATAAGAGACAGGTACATACGAATTTATTAACTCAAATACGCTGTTAGCATCGATAAATAAAAAATCAAATTGAATATCAATTTCTTCCAATCTATTGATGGCATTTAGTCCGCAGGAAAGGAAAAATATTATTTTATCAAAAACTAAAAATATAAAACAAAACAAAAAAACAAAGTAAACAATTGGTGCAGCATGAATTTGAATTGATTTGTCGAACTCTTTTGTCATCGTATACACGATAAATCGTTATCGAATCGTCCTATTGTAAAAACTTCTCTTATTTTTTATTTTCTATATGAACAATTGCTTTTCAGCTTTTAATCGTTGCAAGTATAAACAGGCCTTAAACCTGGTCATTAAACAAGCTGTGGTGGCTCCAGGATTTGGGGGGGGGGGCCGATGTCCCCGATGAAAAAAAGTGGGTTGGGCTCAAAATCTCTCAAAAGTTTTCCAGGTGGCAAAGCCCCTGAAAAATATGACAATCGATTTTGTCTACTAATTTATGTAGAAAATACAAACACATAATTTGTTTATTTCCCCGACGAATTGTGGTTTTATTCCTTGACGGGGGGCCCTGTACCCCGGCACCCCCGCTAGCACCACAATCTCAAACAGATGAACTATAAAATATATGCAAATTAATACATGTCCAAGGTTTAAGGTTGTTGAAGATGATACACTTCTGTTTTATGAATGTAAAGAAGCATACGATCTGTGGAATTATATTAATAATTGTTTATGGCATTGAGACAATTTTTTTGAAATATTGTCCTTGGTTCTGGAATCATTTACATTGACCATCTTTCATTAGGAATGTGTTTGTATTTACAAAAGCAAACGTCAAAAAGCAGCTGGACAAATGGAGCTTTGATTTACCAGCTGTTTATGATAGATAAAAAACACTCATACGCTACAATACTTGAAAGAAAACAATTGATTTTAAATGAATACTTCTTTTACAATCGAGTATACTGAAAATTCTCCAGTATTTTATATAGCCATTAGTGTTATTGTCGAATGTCTCTTTTCGAATGTTTCAAACAATCCTTACAATTTACTGCAGTTTATAGGCAATGATTTGATTTTGGAAGAACAAATGTGGGATGACCCCGTAGGTTGATGCGCATCATCGAACAAATTTAACTCTGAGAGTGCCATTTCCGGCCATCTAGTGCCATAGACATCAAATTGTAAGCCTCATCCCTAACCGTGGTGGGGCTGAAGTGATCTGGACTCTCCACCTTTACAATGCCTTTCTGGGCCCTTTCAATTTCGAATTTCTGGGTCCGCCACTGAAGGGAGTAAACATTTTAAACATAAAAAGAAGCAACACACGGCATGAAAGAGAGACATCTATGACAGAGACACTGTTGGAGAATCTTCGACTGGTGGAGGAAACTTTACTGAAAAAGTCGTAATACAGTGACTGGAAATTGGTTTGTTTGTTTGATTGGTTAGATTTGGTTTGGTTAGAAGAAATAAACATAATCATGCAAGCACGTAATTCCATGATATTTGACAGCGATTCGACATGGAAAAAGAAAAGCTCCAACGACATGTTTGACGTCACCATGGGCAGCTTCGACGGGGCAGAAGTATGTGAACTTGTCGGCTCTTTCATTCTGTCATCACTTGCAAAGAACCTTGGCAAAAACAACATCGGCCTATACCGGGACGACGGCCTCGCAATCATGAAGAGCACATCACCAAGACTGTGTGAGAAGATGAAAAAGGAAATAACATCCATCTTTCACTCCTTTGATCTTCGCATCACATACATGCAAACATCAAAATCACTAACTTCCTCGATGTTACACTGGACCTATAACACTACCTACCAACCGTTTACCAAGGCGAATAACCAGTTATTGTACGTCGACTCACGCTATAACCATCCCCCAACCATCTTAAAACAAATACCTATATAAATTATTCAACGAATATCTAGCATCTCTGATTCCAAGACATTTCTCAAGGCTGCTCCCGACTACGAAAAAGCATTAAAGGAGAGCGGCTTCCAGCACAAAATGAGTTTTAAACCATCACCTGGAAGCAACAAGCCTAAAAAACGAAACATCATCTGGTTCAACCCTCCATTCAACAAAGCTGTGAAAACCGACATCGACAGTTCCTTCCTGAACTTGGTTAAAAAAACACTCTTCTGTAGGCAGTACACTTCAAAAGCTATTCAACAAAAATAATGTCAAAGTTAGCTGTAGCTGCTCTAGATACATGGGAAACATCATTCAGTCCCACAACAGCAGAATTCTTTGCACCAAACCACATGAACCATCTAATACATGCAACTGCCAAAAGAAAGATGAATGCCCCCTCTCAGGAAACTGCCTCGCATCTTCAATTAACTACAAAGCCACCGTAATCACAAATTATGACTTCAAAGAGTACATCGGACTCACAGACAACACTTTCAAAACCAGATTTACAAAATTAAGCACACATTTAGCTCTCCGAAGCATAAGAAAAGCACCAAATTATCAAAACATGTATGCAAACTTAAAGATAGCAACACCCAATTCAACATTTAATGGTCCATAATTGACAAAGCTACGCCATACAGTACACAAACAAAACGCTGCGATCTCTGCCTTACAGAGAAATTTCACATAATTTATTCAAACAAACCATCAACTTTAAACAAAAGAACAGAGCTGCTTTCAAAATTCAGACACAGAAACAAATCCTACTCAAGAATACGTAACACAATTAGCATATACACCTGCTAAACCTCATATATACCTCCATTAGCTTCCTATCCACTCACTCCTGAAGATTGCTACTGAATGAAA